CGTTATTTGTGGTTTGAGATTTCCAAAGGCCGTTACTGAAAGCTTTATTTAATGTTTAGTTAGAACTATTAATCATCGAGACGTGAAAATGTTTTTGGCATTTATTTTATTAAGACAGTTTCACAATAAATGACTTTGGTGTATTAAATGCTGTTCAAGATGTTTAAAGTATTAAAGAAAAGGTATAAATAATATATATTATAATTAAATTAAATTTTCTTATCAAAACATTTATTATTTGTAATTTTAAAACAAATATAATTTGTGGTGCTAAGAAATTAAGTAAATTATGTCACATTATTTTTTTTATCGGTTGGCCAAAGTAAACATATACACAGTCATTTATCCCACGTACATCACAGATCCTTTGTTTCAATTTCTCCCTCTCTCCAGCTTCATAAAAAGTTTACCAACTACAAAAAAAATGCACGTACACGGTTTATGTTGCTTTCTCCGAACAAAATCGAAAAAATGAAGGAAAAGAGGAAAACTTTGCGAGATGTTAGAGGGGTACCTTGCACAGTAGCAACAAAACGCAACAAAAACATGGCAGGAAAAGGAAAATAAGCAAGCCCTATACATACTAAAACAAGAAAATAAAGAAAATGTGCCACGGAAGTTGCGGTAATCGAATTTAAATAAGTTTACTTTGTAAACAATTCTCGTTTCGTACTCGCTCCTGCACATACCACCATTGCCCTTTGCCTTTTCCTTTCTTTTTCCTAAAGTCAAATAATGGTGAAAACTGTTTAGCTATTTTTGCGCAGAAATTGGGAAAATATTCCTGATAGAATTTTAAATACAGTCGAAGAACTAAACTTAAGCTAGAAAATAATTAAAAATCATAGTTAAATTATATTTTTTTAAATTAATCCTTATAAAAAGTTTATGAAAACCTCGGTCAAGGTTTGGCCATATTAATAATTAAATGTTTACACTTTATTTTTATTTAAAATTTCATTTGATTCATTAATTTAGCTTTAACTTTTCTATAAACAATTCATTGTCAATCTAAAGCAATTAAATTAATCTAAAACTTATTTTTTAAACTGTATTTGTTTTTTAAACCCCATTATCTGTAAAACCAATTTAGTTTTATTTTCCAACTCCTGTCATCATTAAAACCAAAAAGGCACGCGAGTCTGGCGAAAAAAAATATTAGCTTTTGACAGTCAACGCCCACACACTAACAGAGGCAGTGCAGAAAAAGGGGACGAAACTGAAGGTCCTCCGATGTCCTGCCGCGCATATTAATCATTGTTGTTGGTTTGACACTTTTCACCAAGGACAAAAGGCACAACTGCAGCGCAACAGCAGCTGCGGCTTTTAATGACTGTTTCAAGGTTGCAATAACAATAACAGATGTTCCCAGTTAAGCGCTTAAAGTTTTCAGCGAATGCACCACGAGGAATTAACAATTTGGTGGAGCACATACTGCAATTATAGTATTTAAATTCACTTTGCATAGCTTATGTATGCACATATCACACCGCCGCAAATGAAATTGTGCGCATGAACTCAATTAAAAGTTTCGTTTTAATTAACAAATCAAAAGCTATTATTGCTGAAAATGAAATTCAAAGAGTAGTCATTTTTAATCGAATTTTCATTGTACAGGGAAAAATACAAAAAATAAATGTAATGTAAAATAGTTGTGAGCTTAACAAAATATTGAGAAATGTACTGTATGTTGCAAGTTTTTAAAATAATAATAACCTACCAAAAGTAATATTACTCATACGCAATGTTGGTAATAAAAAACTAAGCCTTCCTGTGGTTAATGATATAATAAAAATAAACATATGTCTGATTAATGTTTAAGTATTAATAATGATGTTTTTTTTATAATTATCCTATCCTGAAATTACAGAAAATTACTCATACGCAATGTTTAAATAAGTCTGCCCTGGATAAGGATATCATAAAAATAAACTATAAAATCCATAAAAATAACATAAATTAAAATCATTTATAAATAGTAATAATCCATAATAATTAAATAAACTTAAATAGTAAAGTAAACATAACCAGACATTTCATAAATATTACTCATACGCAATGTTGGTATAAGAAACGAAGCCAAAGCTTTTCACAAAAAGAAACACATGTAAAACTGACGAATAAATAAAATATATTAAGATTTATACATTTTAATAGCCCATTCTAATTTAAATTAACTTAAATACTAAAGTAACCATAAGTAGCAATTACAGAAATATAACTCATACGTATGTTGGTAGCATAAAATAATACTTCATCTACTTGAACTTTTAAAGTTTTTATATTATGATATCATCTCTATCTATCAAATACGAAGTTGAAAATGCTAAAGTATTTCTATATAAATCACGTAGTATGAAATCAAACGAGGAGAATAAAATGCGATTCCTTCTGGGAAATCGAAATAATGCACACCGTATATGAGTGCTGTAAATAATTAAAATCCACCAATTAGCGTCTGAATTCAGAAATAACGACCAGTGAAGTGACATGGCCAATTTAATTTCGTGTAAAATGCAATTTCGATTTTTAATTACTCTGTCTGTGTGTGTGTGTGTGTGCGAGTGTATGTGCTTTCATTTAATTTCCACCACCAATTATTGAAATAATATTTATGCTTATCCAATGTCTGTTTATTGTTTTTCTTACACACAGGCCTATCGGATGCCCTGGCCAAAGGACTGCTGACCGATGACTTTATAACTGGAGCCCGCATTTTGGCCTTGAATCTCACCAACGGAGCGGTGCAGTCCTATGTTTGGTGGGTCAAAAGTGGTCAAGCTGAAACGCAGAGGTACGACGAGGATGGTCTACAGATTGGCAAAAAGCCTGCGGAAAGCTATCCCTGGTAGGTGTTTTTCATAACAATATTTTACAAATTCAAAATATAAAATTAAAACCCAAACCAAGCACCACTTCCCTGAACATTCCCCTATACAATCTCGATTAATTTGGACTCCTCCTCTGCAGGTTCGACGATGAGACCACAACGCCCACATTGCGTTCACCGAAATTTGCACCAAGTCCGCCCAACAACTACTACAAGGGCTGGTGGACATATCCATACTTCTCGTGCTCGGTCAGTCGCTGGTTGGTGTCCTATAGCATCGCCATACCACCAACTGGGCGCCATGGACTGCGGGGCTTCATCAGCATCGACATCGATGTGTCCACTCTGCGGGTTAATCAATGCGAGGCGGAGCCATACCAATTCGGCAGTCGCCGCCAGAAAATGCATCAATTGCAGCAGCAGCAACGCCTACCGGCTATCCGGAGGACCCCATTTTTGCCCAACAGGATGGGATCCAATGACGAGGGCACCATCAGTGACCTGCAGGCGTTCCACAGCTCCCACAAGTGTCATCGCACTTCCATGGTGGTGAGTTAACATATAGGAAAATTATATTATTTAGAAGAATTTTCTCTTAGTTAACTTAATATTAATTATTCAAGCTAAAACTTAAATGCTTATATGTAAAATCTATATTTCTATTTATATTTTCTTTCAGTGCGACTACCGGCAGCCAAGTGCAGAAGTACCGACAATAAGCGGCAAAGCTCCTGACCTCGTTGAGTGGGAGCAGCAGCTGGGCCCGGGATCCTACCAGTGCCTCTGCCGAAATGGATTCTACTCGCTACGTCATCCAGATGGCTTCAATGGCACCATCATGGAGATTGCCTGGCAAGAGCAGCAGGAGAACATCAGCAACTATTATACGGAAGTCTTCAAGTGTTTGTCTTGCGCCCCGGCTGTGACACATGTACGGGTCCGGAGCCATGTCTGGCCAACTACCACTGGCCATTCAGGTGGGTTTCATGTCCTCTCCGGTTGTTTTCTCATTAGTGATGGGAAATAGTGGATAGGAAAACATATAAGTAAGCTAAAAATTACCTTAGCTTAGCTTGAAACCATCTAAACTTGTGCCATCTCTGTTATTTATTCGGCGACATCAAAGCGTAGGTTGCTTCTATTTAATGCCTTTTCAATTTCGCTCTTCCACAGAATATCCTTGTTGACCATATCCATTGGCTGTGCCTGCGGCACCTTTGTCCTTGCCGGCTACCTCTTCCGGCATAGGCGCGTCAAGGTCTTTAAGGTGGCCAGCCCATCTTCCTGATGATCACGCTCATTGGATGTGCCATCATGTATCTGGAGGTGAGTTACTTGGGTCATTTGGGGCGACGCTCTTAACCCATTAAACACTCTTAGGGGGAGAGAAGGGGTTCCAGAACACACAAAGGCCATTTGAAAACAATGTTGGTAATGCGACAAAAGGCCCGACATGGTCGGCACAAGCTCATTCATAATTAACCCACATGTGTGTAACCGCCCGGCTCCGTTCTTATCCCATTTCCCATTTCTGGCGGCAAAGGGATCTGTGAACAGGCCGCAAACATAAAAGTCTTACTTATGGGTTTTTAAATGCGGCTTTTAAGCACTTACTCAGGGAAAAGTAATCTAGGATTTTCAGCCGTTTTGCGGCGAGAATTATTTATTTATAGTATCTATATATTATATATTTTAAAATATTTTAAATCGATAACCTACTCGCTATTTTATAAATACTCACTTATTAAACTATCGTACAGCCTTAGAATGTATACTTTTTGTTATTCTAATTAACTAAAAATTTAAAACTCATTAATAAGTTTCATTACATTGTTAAATCAACATTTTTCTTTGATAAATTTCATAAAGATAGAGCATTCCCCATTCTACAATTCACCTGAACCAAGTTTGTGGTTACCTATTCCCTTACCACTTGTTGGCAATTATGTTGTCAACATTAGCTAACCAACAGTGCTAAGCCACCACCACCCAGTGGACACATAAAACCACCGTCCATAAAACCTCCATCCCTTGAATAAACACACACAAAAATACACACAATGGCAGGAACAAGCAGTTGCAAACAATGGGACAGCAAATGGGTTAAGAGCTTGCAATGGGAAAGGGAATATAAAAAGTAAAGCGGGACAAAATCGCAGTCGATTTTCTAATCAAAATGAACAAATAAAATAAATATAAAAATACAAAAAAAAAAGTGACAACAAATTGTTTGTGAAAACTATGAGCAGGAGATCTCCCACGAAGCAAGATGGAAATTCGAAAAGCGAGAATTCCACAGAGGAGGAGGATGAGCTTGCCATGCAGGCGGCCATGCGGGAAATGGTTAAGAATGCAGAAATGGACGAAATGGCACGGAGGAAAAGCCATCGCCTCAAGGCTCGGCCAACACCTAAGGAAGCGGATACAAACAAAAATCAAGTGGAACAAGGTTTACAGACAACTGAATCTCCGAAAAAGGTTAAAAGTTCCAAGTCCGAGACGACGAAAGCGAAGAGCGAAGACAGTTGGGCTTCTATTTTTTTCAAGAGATTGTTCAGGTTTGGAAATCAAACCAAAAGAAAGGACGGCATCCAACAGAAAGCCTCTTCTCCAGAGCGAGACAAGCTCTCTAAAAAAGATTCACCAAAAAGGATGTCAAGGAAAACAGACAGGTTTTCAAACCTCAGACCGTAAATGAAAGGCACTCACCTCCAAGAACCTCCAAGGAGAGTTTTATGCATACCGAACGTTATGTCTCCACTCCCAACCCCATCTCTATGCCAGAAATCGAGGAAATTATATTTCAGGATAACGAATTAGGAAATGAGCAGCTTTCGGAAGAGCTTTGCAAAAATTACAAAAGATTGAAGAGGCCTCCAAGCCAAAGTCTTGGGTGAGGCCGAAACCGATAGTTATAAATCCAAAGAAGATAGCTTCTCCCACCAAAGACATTGAGAATAAAGTGAAGCCAAAACCGTACGATACTACAAAGGAAAAACGTGGCCATATTAATATTTTGACATCTTCATTTCCAGGTAGTTTAAACTATGTCACAAAAGGAAAATCTGCAGAAAGTCCTAGAGAAAACTCAGCAGAGAAGCATAAAGATAACATTCCTGAAAGTACTGAAAATTCATTTAGAAAATATAAAGAAAATACTGAAAAACCCCCTGACACGAAACGGTCTTCGGAAACTCAGTTAAGAAAATCATTGGATCATCATGATTCGCAAAGGACTTTAACAATCAAGGGACATAAGCATATTACCACGAGATGGGGCGATCACTGCCATTATGAGGATCGTCAAGACGGCATAGATAAGGTGGCCAAAAAAAATCTGATTATCGCCTGTATTTTGTGTTTTACCTTCATGGTTGCCGAAATTGTTGGTGGAGTTCTCTCCAAAAGTCTGGCCATCGCCACGGATGCAGCCCATTTGCTGACGGACCTTGACGCGTTTCTAATATCCCTGTTCGCCTTATATTTATCGGGAAGACCTTCGTCACAGCGTTGAACTTTGGATGGTATCGGGCAGAGGTCATTGGGGCCATGATATCCGTGTATCTTATCTGGGTAGTTACAGGTGAATGATAAATTTTATATTATACGCATTCTGCAAGTGATCCATACCCTCAATTCCATCGCAGGCATCCTGGTATACATGGCCATTCAGCGGCTGATAAATAAGGATCACGATCTGGATGCAAAGATAATGCTGATTACCTCGGCACTGGCAATACTCTTTAATATTATAATGGCCTGTCAATTGAGTCACGGACACTCACACTCTAATCTCGGGAATCCAAGTCGAACGAAGATCACGGAGTCACATCATGGGAGCGGAAGTGGAATAAACTCTCACACGGGATTAAGATCCCCATTGGGTTACTCTGTGTCCACTCAGCTCTCTGTGAAGTCTGAACGAAATATTAATGTGCGGGCAGCCCTGATCCATGTGGTTGGGGATCTCTTCCAGAGTATTGGGGTCTTTGTGGCCGCCTTGATAATATTCTTTAAGCCCGAATGGGCCTTCATGGACTCCGTTTGTACCTTTCTGTTCTCGATTCTGGTGCTAGGGGTCACAATTAAAATATTAAAGGATGTCCTTATGGTCCTGATGGAGGCCACACCGGATTACATGGACTACGATGAGGTAAAGCGCACATTCCTCTCCATTGAGGGTGTAATGCATGTCCATAACTTGAGAATATGGGCACTGTCCATCAACAAGGTGGCCTTGTCTGCCCATCTGGCCATTGCCAAGGATGCTGATCCACAGTTAATCCTCGAAAGAGCCACCAGGCTGATCCACAAGAGGCACAAATTTTTCGAGACCACTATCAAATCGAAGAGTATTCTTCTGGCATGCTGATTGTGGTCAGTGTGCGGATCCCTTAAGCAAAAAGGATACTCCGAATCCCATCGAAATGGAAGAGGGTACTGCGGTTGGGATTCTGAAAAAAGCAGAGAAGAAATCCAAGGCTCCGGAAACGGATGAAAATAACTGGAACTATTAAATAATTGTATTTATTTTTGTAGACTGATCATATTCAATGTCTTTAGTGATAGTAATTGTTATTAAGTAATGATAAATTAAATTTCGTTGCCATTTTTGTAATCATTTTAAATCGGGAAATTTAAATCTTGAAGGGAGATTTTGTTTACTTAGGAAAATCATTGGATCTATTCATGATAAGTTCTTAAATAAATATATATGTTATATGTTACTTTTTTATTCTTAGATGGTGGCTATTTTCCCCTTATTGGACACAACTTGGTGCATTGCCACGAAATGGACTCGCATATGGGCTTTTGCATCACCTACACTTCGCTGTTAATGAAAACCTGGCGGTAAGTAAGGCAGTAAATAAATACAGAACTTTTAACATTAAAATATCTTATATTTTTCAGAGTTTCTTTGACTTATCGGGTCAAGTCGGCACACAAAATAAAACTAAACGATCAGCAATTATTACAATGGATGGTGCCCATCCTCCTGGTAATGCTGATCTATTTGGGGACTTGGACCATTTCGGCAACACCCTATGCTGAAGTGGTAAGTTAATTAATATAATTTATATATAAATTTATTTGTGATTATTATTAATTTTTTTTAAATTCCCAAAGATCTATGACCAGAGTCACCTGAAGTTCAAGCAGTGCTCGTATAATTGGTGGGATCACAGTCTGGCCATAGGGGAAGTATTCTTCCTGGCTTGGGGCATAAGGGTTTGCTATAATGTACGGAATGCGGAGAGTCTATATAACGAAGCGAGGCTTATATCATATGCCATCTACAATATTGCCATTGTTAACATAGCCATGGTGGCATTTCAGTAAGTATTAAGAATATATTAAATAATATTCAATAGAAAAAAGGAAAAGGAAAAGAATTAAAGCACCTGCTTTGAGTTAAACTAGAAATTACTCGCTAGATTTTTTGATATTTTCTTTGTTTTTAGTGTATGTTGGGGGTGTGTGGATCCTACCCACCTGATGAAGGTCCTTCTGCCGCAGAATTGAATTATAACAGTTGACACATGTTGGGTAATCCAAACATGCTGGGGCACGCGTCGCGGCCATTAGGGGAAATGCAAAGCTGCCCGGCTTGCGTCTTACGCGGTCCCTTTTAATTAAATTCCTTTGCTTTGTGCGCGCTCGTGTTCGCGTTGTAATCCTTTTTGTTGGCCTGCCAGGACTCGCTGCCATCCGTCTCTCTCTCAGTCTCCCGGTCTGTCTGTCGCTTTGTTTACACACACATTCCTTTCCTGGGCATCAGCATCATCCTTCTCTCCGGTTTCAAGTTGTCTGCGGGTTGGCTGCTCCTCGCTTCTAAAGTCCTTTTGATGAAGTCCTTGTAATTAATGCAATTTGTTGGAAAACTTTTGTGCCACGAACCTAAACCTATCCCAATTGGGTTAGGTTAGTATTGTGTAAAGTGTTAATTGGCTGCCGAATGAAAGGTGCAAGAATTTATTTTCAAGTGGGGAAAAGAAAGCTAAATTATTTAATGGGACAGTGGAAATAATTATAAATTAAGTGCTACAATTTAACAAATTTAAATTATTTAATCAAGTTAGAAAGAGAGTAATTATTGTTTAATTTCTTTTCAAAACCAGTGTCATGCTCTTTCCAAATGCTGGACCGGATTACAAGTACATGCTGGATTTGTGCGCACTCAGCTCTCGACGACCACAACCATTGCTTTGGTATTTGGACCCAAGATTTTGAGGGTCTTCAAGGGCCAAGGTGACAAGTGGGACCAGAAGGCCAAGGTGAGGAGCATAACAGCTTCATTTTCCCTAAATGGAGTGGGTCTGGTACCGGAAGAGTCGCCGGATCTCTACCAGGAAAATGAGGAGCTTAAGGTGGGTCTTGGAAGAAATAGATCTAGGAGTAAAGTTAATAAATTTTTATTTTTGTAGGAACAAGTCCAGAAGCTGGCCCATCAAATCGAGTTCATGAAGACTGTCCACATGCAGATGAACAACAGGCATCTGAAGCCAAAGCCGGGAGGATATTTTACCATCACCTCAACCTCGTTCCAAGCGCCCTACAGCAAGAACACGGTTTCCACGGCACAGACGCAAACTGGCAAAGATGAGGCCAGGTGGGTTTTCTACTTAAATTACCAAGGGATTAAGATATTTATTTATTTAATATTTTTTTCCAGTGGCACGCCAACGAAATCAAAGTCGCCCAAGGGCAAAGTCTGACGAGGTCAACGAAGTGTTAAAGATTGCTCAATAGAAGTGGATGAGAGGCATGGCATTGCCACAATGGTGGAGGATGCAATTGATTTTAGTTTCCACCAAGCAGACTCGGAGGAGATAGTTATCCTCAAGGGAGATGAGCAGCCGGGCTCAGAGGAGGCAGCCCTGCTGGAGCAATTCCGTCGCCTTTTCGCACCCATTTTATGATAGCTTAAGGCTCTACTACCAGCTTAATGACTCGGACGATGCGGAGCACGTGAGGATCCACCAAACGGTGGCACAGCTTAACGATGTGGGTAGCAGTGAGGAGGAGACAATGGTGACCCAGGTGAATAGTCCATCGCCGTCGCCACCGGTGGAGGTGAGTTGCTTCTGCCCCTTTCGAGCGACAGCTCAACGGCCAGCAGTTCTCTGTACGCGATCCATACCCATCGCCGGCTCATCCCAGTGGTGTGATCCTGATGCCCCAGAATCTAGAGTCGCCACAGTTGTCCCACAGTGATCCCATCACGCTCACCGAACAGGTGCAGCTGCATAATCCTCCGCCGGAGGACGAGAACAACACGTCCTGTCTCTCTCATCGAATCTGACGGACAGCAAGACCCTGGATGGTCGCACTCCCATTGTGGTCTGAGGAGGAGGATAATGGATATATTCCCCGATCTGCTTAACTTGTGATTTCGTTTACACAGTCTTAGAGAAACAACAAACAGTTGGCGGAAAAGGACAGCTTAACGTTAAATATTAGTCTTAAATAATGTTTGTGTGTATGTGTCTGTCAAAGTTGTTAACATATTAATTGCGTTTATGCGGAACGGATAATAAGAGAGATATATTTATATATTTCAGCCATACAAAAGTTATATATGAAATATCCCACCAAGTATACAAATAATTTCCGGTTTATATCTATTAAAAATATACGTAATTGGAATATATTTCTTTTTATTTGATTTTGTTTAAATAAAAACAACATTATTTAATTCCTCTTTTATGAACCTTCCAACTGCATAGACGCAATCTAGATGTGTGTGTTTTATATGGCTTAAGTTATTGCTTCTTAACCATACACCCAACCATATCCATCATCCATGGTCATCTTCAAAAGAAAAACAAAATGAAAACATTGAGCAAATTTTTCTCACTTCGTTCGGATCGAATAAGGAAGTTGTATAGGAAAAGGGATCTTTTGGAAGCCAGACGGCCTGATGGCACTCATAGAGTAAGGCCATCAGGGCCCTTAGGGACTTGGCATTAACATTTCTGATTTTATATCTCTCACATGCACCTAGCGAAAAATAAATTCCATTTTTCTATTTTTCTCTCTGCACTCATTCATAGGACAATTATTCTTTGCCTTGTAGTCAAATTTACTTGATTTTCATACTCATATGATCTTAAAAGCGTAACATTTAAGCTTAGCAAAGAGTCGATTTTAGTGTACAAGACGATATACATATATAAAAAGAAACATACTTGATATAAAAACTAATTAAATTGAAATTTTAGCGTACTATTTTAAGCTGAGAAAGTGTTAACAGACGCGCAATTCTTACTCATAAAGTTGGGCATTACGTAAACTGAAAAGTATTCCGCATAAAAAATAATAAAACAAGATTAATTAATAAATTGATAAAAAAATTAAAACATTTATGGCATAAGTTAATGTTAATAAATTAAAATATTGTAAAGGAACAAAGTGGCAAGAACAAAGAAATCAAAAATAAATGTTATAAAACTTAATCAAATTATTTTCGAGGAAGATTTTTTTAGTTAATAAATTCGATTAGTCTCCAATTTTAATTTCTTAGTTTTGCTGTCACCGATACAAGGTGATAATTTGATATCAGGACATACACCCGTCATCTTAGACATGGTCAAAGTACTCATTAGCGAATTGGTCAGCAGGACATGTTAGTGACTAATAAACTTTCTCCTCAATCCAAGTTTAAACCTCGCAGGACATGTTCAAGTTCCTTCGTCAGAAAAGTGTTTCCAAACTCTCGCCGTAATTCTCCGCTGGATGTTCTACATATAGATCCTTTGGCATTTCCTGGTTCAAGTTCAAAACTACAACTACTAACCAAATGACGATGGAAGAAATTGGTCCGTGCTGGAAGTGGTCATTGAGTATCCTTCGCGTGGGTGGCCTATGTTTGTTCACATTCAAATACTTCGAATTTATGATTATGATAAATAATTGGTTAGAAAATTCTTACACATCATCCAAATATTACTGAATATGGCCTGCTGCCTGTGCCTCCTGAGATTGCACCTGGTTCAAGGCACAGAATGCACTAATTTGATCAACACATTTCTCCAAATTTTTCAAAAAGTTCAAAGGCTTTTCAAGGGGATACATTCGGGATTTGGAGGAACACATGAGCTAGTGTTTTTAATCCTCACTCTTTCAAGCCTAACTTTCGATATAGTGTTCCTGATACGGCTTTTTATGATAAAGAAGTATTGGATTATAGATATCTATGTGTCCGTATGCAATAAAGTTCTCTTGCATATCGCCGTTGTGGGCTATATAGCATTGGGACTGCTCTACGCCGACTTGAACGAATATGTTTCCACCGAGTTCAGATCCCAACTGGAGTCCCTGGAAGACAAGCCCACCGGTCGGAAACTGAGGAAGGCCCGCAAGAACTTGGACAAGTGTTTGAGCCTTTACAAAGACGTGCAATCTTTGACATTCATGTTTCAAAGGATATACGACCTGATGCTACTTTTTAGCTTGGGGCAATCATGCATTAAAGTTGCCTTGGCCTCTTACAGTACCTTTATCATTCTCGATATTA